CCCATTTAATTGGGTTGCAAGTTGGGTGCAGTGGGACTGTCGTCGAGACTTTTTCATCATACTTGTACGTTATATGGGGAATTCCCGTATTGTTTTGTATGTGTTCTTTTCGACTCTCTCGGTGCGCTTCCTACCGTGTTTTGACAGCGAAAATTTTCAAACATGAAATAACTAGATAATCGCTGGATGGATTTTCCTGAAGTGTTATATCTTAGCTTCACATTTGGTATCTGAGATTTCTTTGTTTCATTCTATCACCAAAACACGTTCATCGTTTCTTGCGACATGTTCGGGCTCATTAAGCCATCATCCCATATTTGACCTTTTTACATTTACCTGTATTCGTCTGTTGTATTGACCAGTGTTTACATATTGGAATACTGATTCTTTAGTAGTACGTAAAAAGGTAAAGTTATCCCTGTAACAGGCCGTGGAGGCCCATAGGGTTGTGAGACGTCGAGGCTCCAACATTTTCTCCAGACAATCGCCTCACAGATGGCGGTGAGGTCTGCATTACACGCCGGTCGCCGTTTACCCTCCGGAACATTCACGGTACTCATTTCTGTTAGAGGCTGAGTCGACCCCAGGGCCACAGTACGGCTGGAAGGATTAGGTCAATTGAAAAATCCAATCATCTCTTCGGGAATAGAAAACGAGACTTTCCGGCTTGTAGCATAATGCCTCAACCAACTACGCTACCGCGTGTCCCCTGCCATGATTTGGCTATAGCAATTTCTTTCTATAAGTTAAATGGAAATCTATTTTTGTTGTCTGCAATATTTGCAGCTTGCACTGAAGTAAAAGTGCTTTGAGGTTTGACAAGAAAGGTTAAGAGGCCGTAGCAATACAATCTGAAATAAACAAGACTGGATATATAGAACTAAGCCTTCTACGTGTATATTTACACCTTTAGGATTACTTGTAGAGCTCAACTCCTGCCGAATGACAATGTAAAACTGGAACACTGCAAAAACAGTACAGCGGAGGGATTTCCCAAGCAGATATCTGCTCTTGAAGTTTCTCTGTCCGCTTATTTTAGCCAAGATATCAACTGGCGAAACATCATTGGAACTTTGGCGCGGAATTGTATTCAAATGTCCCTCCGGAAACCCTGACAGTGATTTAGAATCACAGTACCCTTGTAGGTCTGAATTTGATGTACAGATTTATTCTAAATTATTGCCGGGGTTTCCGGAGGGAATTATGAATTATCCTGTGCATAAGAAAGGTAAAACATAAAGCTATCCCTGTAACAGGCCGTGGAGGCCCAATGGGGTTGTGAGACGCCGAGGCTCCAACATTGTCTAGACAATTGGCTCATAGATTGCGGTGAGGTTGCCAGCCTTACCCGCCGGCCTCGCTCTACCCCCAGGGAGATTCCAGGTACTAATTTTTTATTACAGACAGAGTCGAACCCAGGGCCACAGTGCGGCTGGAAGGATTAGATAAATTCTACAATCCAATGACCTAATCGTGAATCCAACCCGCCAGCTTCCGTCTTGTAAATATGTATTCATAACTGATGATGACTGAAAGGCACAAACATATATAGTAAAATTATGTGTTGTATCTATACGATTAATCGTGTTGACGGAACCAAATATAACAATAATAATGCCACATGTATGGGGTACGCGTAACTTATAAAACGGGATCTGTATATTGGATGGTTGGATGCCAGCTTTAGAGTGAGCGAAGTCTGTTCATGCCTTAGACCGCGCAGCCACAGTGAACAGTCAGTTATATATATATAAAATTACATGTAGCCGTATATCCCACGTGAATTCCTGAAAATGGCGGCACACATATGCTGAAATACGTTTGCTGACCGAGCAGAAATGGTGACAGCATACGTCATGTAACTGAATGATAGTTCAGAAGGTTGTCGCACGAAAAACTAGTGTACTATTTTAAGATGCCACATCAGCATTTTCCGGGGTAATCTGAGTAAAATCAGGAAGTACGTTATTTATGACATCCGACTTCTAGGCGGCGATTCCAATCGGAGATATCCCAAATATCACCACGTGCCAATGAGTTCACGGCGACGTCTGGTTTTCCACTCTCTTGAATCGAACGGCGCTTTGCAGGCAATAGCTCTGTAAAATCGGTCAAACGCGCAACAATAAGGGAAGCTGTATGCGCCAGTAGATTGGCTGGATAGCGATCACGTGATATGTTTCCTGCGATGCATGTCCGCACGGTGGCTATATAAGTAAGAGTCCAGGAGAGTTTAGAGCAGTTACGAGTTAGCCGTAAGCTGGAGAAGTGATTAATAGAGATCCGAAGTTCAAGGGAACAGCAGTGTGGTCAGAAGAAGAGTTAGAAGACTTAGTGTGACGTTACATGTGCTGTAGTACATCGATATTGGGAGTGTGTAGTTTAGTGAGAGTTGTACAGTTCCTGTGTTATAAATCCGTTGCCAGGAAACGTATAGTGAAGACTAGTAGAAATAGACTGACAAGATTAGTGTGGAGTGATTTGTAGCGTGTAAATCAACAATAGTGTAAAACTTATTTGCAGTTACAACCTGTATGTGTTAATAAATTCAATTTCCAATCCAAACCCGCGTCTTAGTCACTGTGACACATGACAATATAATAATAATAATAATAATAATAATAATAATAATAATAATAATAATAATGTTTAACATGTGAGAAGAGGCGGAGGTGTGACGAGGCGAGAAGAGCTACACGGAGGCCGTCACGTCGAATCAAAGCAGCTGACTCATAACTCTGAAATAGCCAATGATGAGTATCGTATATACTTTCTTTGCATCTCTGCTGCAGTCATTAAACCAACAGCTTACGTCATGAAGACCAAAGACTATAAGAAATAAAACGACTAATGATAATCGGCACGTAAAATAAATGTTCTTTAAAATAATCAGTATATATCAGTGTGATTGCGTCGTTTTCAGAATTCTCTACATCTGAGATGTCATTCCATGCTGTTTCTCTTCTCTCACAGCTTAATTAGTAAACCTTCAACTGAGATACCTACCGATGAGAATGGCCGCGCCGTCTAAGGCATGAAAGCTGGGACCGTGGGTTCAAATCGGACACAAGGCATAGATGCCTGTGTATACGTTTATTCTGTGTTTGTGTTGCTCTGTGTGTAGGTAGCGACCTTGCGACGGGCTGATCCCCAGTCCGAGGAGTTCTACCGACTCTGTGTAGGATTAAGAAATTGAAAAGCGGCCTCCGTAGTCTAGAGGTAACGTTCCCACCTCATGACTCGTGGTACGCGGGTTCAAATACCCGGCGGAGGTCGTCGAATTCTTAAGGGCGGAAAAATTCAGGGAACAAGTCCTCCGGGAGGGACTTTAAGCTGTGTGTCCCGTGTCGTAACTTTACGGCACGTAAAAGAACCTCATATCCCCAAAGGGGATCACTGAGCCAAATTCCAGGACGTTTCCCGCCCAACAATAGTCTCTAAGGCCTCTGATAGAGGGGGGGAAACATTATAGACACCGCTAAGCAAGTGGCCGAACTCGCTTGCTCGGCGGGACTGATGGTACGCACCATTTATCGGTAGGGTAAAGAGACTGGTAGAATATCATAGAGGGAAGCACAGTAGATCAAACTGGTCGCGGTGCATGGGGAAACCTACCCTCTCTAAATAACTAACTAACTAAGAAATTGAAAAAGCGACCAAGGTCCAACAAAAGTACTGTAGAGCTATAGATAGGTAGACAGACAGACATAGATATATAGATAGACAGATTTAACTTGGTTCATCCTGGTCCGTTACACTAATAATTGTATATAAGGATTTTAACAATCGTCCAATGTGATTGGTAAAATTTGTGTTTTTCATTTTTCATCCTTTACGTGTTTCGGGCGTGGCGACCATCTTCAGAAGGATAATATGGGAACTACTGTTGCATGTCATAGTTTCAAATATCATATATTGTAACTAATGCTAAGGAGTACACTGATTTGTTAAAACATCTGAAAACCCTTACAATAAATACTAGGGTTAATTTCACCGACCCCACAACACGTTTTTATTATTGTCACACCACATGTTTCGACAAGGAACGTAACAGATCCAGCATCAGAGGACGCGGAAGAGCAACGAGACCTTCAAAAGTGAAAGTGCAGCCAATATGATAAGTTGAACTTTAATTCACGAACTTTTTAACCAGTGGTAATAATATAACTAGTTAAAGTGAACTATACACAGAGAAAACAAGTGAATGTGAAAGTATAACCAGTGATCGAAATTGAACTTCGATTCACGGAAAAAAATTTTAAATTTTTAAATTTTAACATTTGAATAGTATTTTAACTTGTATTATATAAGAAGAACTTGACATATATTATTGAGCGTAGGCCTGAACAGGATACAGGATCGAAATAAGTGAAAAACGAATGTGATTGCGCAACTGTGTTCGTACACCTGAGGATGACCTCTTGAGGTCGAAACATGTGGTGTGACAATAATAAAAACATGTTGTGTGGTCGGTGAAATTAACCCTAATATTGATTAAATACACAACAGGATAGCCCTTACAATAAGTCTGTTTACAAGTAACGCACAATATTTATTCCAGTCTAGAACCAGTGTACTCGTAGTTCGTGCCGTTACGCACTGCGGGAACTGCGCTTCTCGAGACGACAGGGGGGCACACGTTCGGCCCCCGTCAAGAGAAATAATAAGAAAGACGACACGAACCGACTTGGTTTATAAATTCCAATAAAATCTTAACAAACCAATTACAAATATTTTAATGTATTGGAAAAGCCGCTGTACTTGTAAACGCTTTAGGTTTTATACCCAATTATATATTACTGTATTAATATTATATGTATATATTTTAACGTTCAGAACATATTGTTATATTCCTACTGTATTGATGTAAAGCTTTCACTCTGATGATGGTCTCTGAAGACCGAAACATGTAAGGGCATAAATAATTGAAATAAGAATAATCTTCACCAGTCACACTAGACTGAACTGTTTAACTTTCATTTCCTCTTCTCTGTTGGCAGGTGGAGCGGGGTGTTGATTGGTGTGCGTGGTGACTGGCTACTGCGCAAGCGCAGCATGTCCATTCGGGTATTCGGCCACGTGACCAGGTAAGAGGTCAGCTCATGTGTAGTACCGATGGTTTATGATACAAGCATATCGCAGGGTATATCCCTTCACCCGTCCGCCATTTGCACATTTCCTTCAAACTTCCGCACTCATACGATCATATAATAGCATTATGTACGTGACAAGCATAAGTCATACAAAGTCACGAGAATGCAACATAGGACACGGCCAAGCCAGACATAGAAAATATTAAGGGCGTAGACTTGGCGGCGGGCAAGCATACGACCTTCCAAGTGCCGTTGTACCGTGAGCTACGCAGCATAGGACATGATTTGTTGTTCTCAGCCTGGACTGAGGCAATATAGAAACAAAACGTCATTTGCCTTTCAGCGACTTCACACCTTTCTGTGGCAGGATTCTTTAACTTTTCCCTCTCGTCCCTTGATCCATCCGAAGCCAACGTATCAAGGGCGTAATCAGCATCCGCCGGTCAGATGGAATGCCAACATAATCCGACAGAGCGTGACAATGCTCAGTGACGGCATAGCGCTCAGTACAATTTGCTTTCTTGGTGGGGACGCCAGAGCAATTTGTATGTTATCAGATTCTGCGGTTGTAACAGCTTCCCCCCATACTGAGTTTATGCAGAAGCGGGTCCTGTGTCGCCTGACACGCGCTGCACCGGATTTGTTCGTCGCTGTCTGCAGAACTTCAGGTGCTACCGCCATATTTCCAGCTCGGCTCCACGCTTTCACCTGACATCAAGGGAGGAACACAAACTGAGGGTGTTGAGGAGAATATTTGCACTGAAGAGGGATGAAGTTACGGGAGGCTGGAGAAAACTGCATAATGAGGAGCTTCTTAACTTGTAGCCTTCTGCAAGTATAAATAGAATGATCAAGTCAAGGAGGATGAGGTGGGCAGGGCATGTAGCACGAGTGGGGAGAAGAGGAATTCATATAGGATATGGGTGGGAAAGAGACCACTAGGAAGACCAAGACGTAGGTGGTTGGGTAATATTAAAATGAATCTTAGAGATGTAGGATGGGGTGGTATGGACATGATTGATCTGGCTCACGATAGGAACCAGTGGAGGGCTGTTGTGAACACGGCAATGAACATTCGGGTTCCATAGCATTCTGGGAAGTTCCTGAGTGGCTGCACAACTGGTGGCTTCTCAAGAAGGGCTCAGCTCCATAAAGTTAGTTATTACCCGGTTTCCTAGTTCGAGCAGGCAATAAACATAGCAGTTTCAGATTGGCATTACACTCAACAGATGTCGCGGTTGCGTAGTTGGTTGAGGCACTATGGTACAGGCCGGAAGGTCGCGGGTTCGGTTCCCGATGAGGTCATTGATTTTTTTTCACTTGACCTATCCATTCCAGCCACACTATGACCCTGGGGTCGACTCAGCCTCTAACAGAAATGAGTACCAGGAATCTTCCTGGGGGTAAAGGGTGACCGACGGGTAAGACTTACAACCTCATCGCCACCTGTGAGCTGATTGTCTAGAAAATGTGGGAGCCTCGACGTATCACCTGATATAGGGATAGCTTTACAATTTAACAGTAGGCGCATAAAATGCGAGTTGGCGATAGCGTGCGGCAACATTCACTCGCTGTTCTCATGAGTAATAACAGAGGTTACTGTGCTGTTGCGCATGTGCAAATCGTCATGTCTCTACAATCTTCACCCACTCAGAATTTGTACGCTTACTCTACGAAGCGTATAAGAGCAATGTGTTTTGCATTGCGGAGGTGCGTCGGTCTCTCCATTATCAGCGCAATGCGGCGCCTGGAGCTACAGACGCCGCCTAAGTAACCTGTTATTTACGCAAAGACGGTTGAGGTTATGTGTTTAACTGAATTGCTTCCGAAAATAAAGAGATGACCACTTCAGTAACCCAGGGTGTTACAGGGGAAAGAAACACCTCGAGATGGGCAAATCATCCAGTTTTGTGTAGATGATCACATCAGGGAGACTACGATGACTTTGGTATGTGGTTGGGGTGGCCTACAAAAGGAATAACGCCCATTTTTTAGGAAAGATCTTTTGGAAAACGTCCGCATGCAAGACCGAGAAGGGAAAGGAATGGTAACATTAATGCATACCTTTTAAGTTGTAGGGTACTTAAAATTAAAACTTTCTTAAGTCATTAAAATAATAGAATTCAGACTAAGAAAACATCCGTTCATATTTCTTTCATCACACAACTGCCACGGTTTTTGACATACACGTCTGTCTTTTGTAATAACCCGTTTTGTTGTACCGGAAAGAGAGCCAGTTACTCAGTGATTATAATTGAAAAAAAGGGAGCAATTTTATGCATCTAATAAATAAGTATCAATCCGTATTGTTATTGTGATATGTGTTCGGTAAACACATTACCGCGAACCATATGCATTCGCCAATAGACCGTCCACTGCTAGGCAACGGACCAGTAAACCCGCCACCTGAAAAATACAGACCGTGATTTCTGTGTAGTCCGTGCTGATGGGTAATAAAAGGGCACAGACAGAAGACGAGACAGAATGTAATAGAGCAGAGGAGAGAAGAGCCGAGTTTCGGGACGCCAGCCTGCCGAGTCGCGTGTTCGGAATTAGCAGCTGCAGACTCCGCGTATGACTTGAAGTGACAATCAGATGGTTATAAATCCGTTGCCAGGATACGACACTAGCGAAGACTGAGAATCCTAGTGCGTGTGTAACGGGGAACTGTAAAGTGTGTACATCAGCGATAGCGCTGTAGTTGCCTATAATCCCGAACTTTGAATGTATAAGTGTCAGTAAATCCAATCATCCAATCCGAAACCCCGTCTTATAAATGATGCACCGCTACACGCGACAGTATTAAGTACTTTTCTTCAATATTTATCATATCGATTTATCGATATCGATTCCCATCTGAATATCTACCACACTCTTCTGACATGATTACTGTCACTCGGTATATGAACTTACTGAAGAGAAAATGCGACAAATCTACGAGAAATCTGCGTAGAAATGATCAGATGGATTTTCACTGATACCTTGTTAAGGTTTAACGCATCTGTGCATGAGCAGTTTCTTCAGTTGCAATTAACAAAGACTAGCAGCCTCTAGATAGCGATAGAATGTTCGGAATATTATTTGTGTCCGAGAACGGCATGATCGATCGAATCGTATGGATCCTCGTATATCGATCAAGATTTGTATCGATAAACACCCATTCAGAATTCTTAAGTAAGACATATTTGGTAACAGTACAAGGCTAGGAAGTGAAACAGCGTTAATAAAACGCCACGGTGCTTAATGAAGTTTATCTTAACACTGTTCGTGTTACTCTGCAACTATCACTGCATTCCTGTTTCGTAATCATATGTTTTACGAGTGTCAGTTTCCATTCATTTTCAGTCATAATGGCTCTGCAGCCATTTGTTGGGCCCTGGCCTCTTCTTCAATCTCGTAGTATTTTTTAAACAAGTGGTAGGAAACCCTGGACGAGTGATCAGCCTGCCGCAAGGCCGCTACCTACACGCAGAACAACACAAACACAGAATTAGCGCACACAGACATCCATGCCCCGAGTGGGATTCGAAACCACGATCCCAGCATTCGAGCGAGCGAAGACAGTTCGTGCCTTAGGCAGCGCGGCCGGCCACTGTGATCAGCTCACCAGCATCAGTACAGGACTGAAACTGCAAATGTGCGAGATGGTAGACTAACTGTATGAAAGTCAGATTAAACAGAGGTTAGATTGTAAGCCATTTCAGAAGATATGACACATGATAATACAAGTTTCTTGAAATTAAAATTAAGTATTATACGACCGTTGTCCCTGTTCCCCCTCTGTTGTCTGGGTCTAAAGTTCAAGGTGATCATAAACTAATTATTAGAATGAGAGGTTATCACTGTATACAGGATGTTTCAGGAGAAAAGGTCACAATATTCCGGGAGGTTATAGTATCGATCATTCTAAGCAAAAAAGTATACATGTACATGTGTCCTATTCCGAACGGTTGCCGAGATAGAGAAATTTCACTGCACAGACGAGATCACGCCATCTCCTCACACGAGTTGCAAAGTGCATTGATGCTGACCGTGGCATTTTCGAAAATGTATTATACTGGGCAAACGGCACCAACTTTGTCACTTGAACAATAAATGCCGGTACTAGAAACAGCACGTAATGTCTCTTTCTTATCAACAGTTTTGGAACTGTACAGTGAAATAGCTCTACCTCGGAAACTGCTCGGAATAGAACACATGAACATATACACTTTTTTGCTTAGAATGACCGATACTATGACCTTCAAGATTATTGTCAGCTTTTCTCCTGGAACACTCTGTATATACTCGGAGATAGGGACAAGCTCTATCGAGTGGGCCCAACTGAGTAGGTTTTACCTGAAGACGGAGAGAGAACTCAGTCTCCGAAACGTTTTGAAATGTAAACAAGGCGGTGTTTTAAATACAAACATGACGATGGATAGTGTCCAAAAACATAATATTTGTACTTCATTGTGTTTTCTGCAAGAAGAGTTTCGTTTTAGCAGGTAAACGGCAAATGTAAATTGGGCTGGCTACTGTATGTTCATGGAATTCAGTTAGAACAAAAAAGAAAAAGAGATGCGTTAGAATTTGACCTAAAACCGAAGGTCAGAAAGGTGGGCACCGCGCTGTTCATTTGTTGCGTACTCAGAGCTGCATAATCATGTGATATCATGTTTCCCTGCATTCATCGTGACGAAAAGAAATTTAAATAAAAGTTTTAGATTTTAATTAAATAAATATTTGATTTATGGGGCACTCGGTAACGTACTTGGTTGAGGCCCTATGCTACAAGCCGGAGGGTCGCGGTTTGCATTCCCGATGAGGATACTGGATTTTTTAATTGACCTAATCTTTCCAGCCTCATTAGGGCCTTGGAGTAGACTCAGCCTCTAACAGAAATGAGTACCATGAATCTTCCTGGAGATAAATGGCGGCCGGCGTGTAAGACTGACAACCTCACCGCCATCTGTGAGCCGATTGTCTAGAAAATGTGGGAACCTCGACGTCTC